ATAAACTCTATGGCTCTCGCGAATGCGTTAAAATATGCAAATGAGGTGCAAGGGCTGAGTGCGAGGATAGTATGTGTTGTTTGTAAAAGCAATTTATTCAAGCTTTCGATGCTAAAACTTGCATCATCATCAGGAGATTAAGATTTTTAACAATTTTTTTGGAAATCTATGTAATTTATTTATTTATGTTATTTTGTTTTTAAATTATAAAGACGGACGCGAAACTCTGACAATTTTGAAGTTTTGTAAACTTTGCAATGGCGGCTCAATAAAATAAAATTCACTTTTTTTTTAATTTGCACTGAAAATTTCAGTTATTATGGACAAATTTTTCGCCAAAAAATGTCCCGGTTTTAGCCAGAACAAATATGGTCACCCTAACTGAAATCGGTTTTACCAATCGGTTTAAAACCAGTTTTGTACATAATTGAAAACCGTTTTCCTCAAATTTTCCAAAATCTGATTAACCTATAAACTGGTTTGACTAAAACAAAAACAATGGAAAACCGGTTTTTCAAAACGTTCCGAGTTTGGACACCAATTCCAACCTGTGATAACCACGAATTTCAGTCAAGAATGAAGACATCTGAGGGTTTTCATTAACACAAATATCTATATATTTGTCTAAATGGCGTAAACACTTTCCATTCCTCGAGTGTGATCACTTTGGTATTCTCTTGTTTATTACTGGTCTATTTTTTGCTACCTGCTGTGATCGATTTATTGATAATTTGGTTCCGGTTAAGCAGACGTGTGCTATCTATTCGGTAGTAACTACGATTGATAACTATGAATCCAGGCTGAACTTTCGGTTTGCAACGATTTTTAAGTAGAAACCCCAGATTTTTTCCTAATAGTATTGTTGGTATTAAATTAAAACCAACAATCCAGAAAAATATATCACAATTTGTCTAAATGGCGTTAAAATCTACAAATGCGGCATTATTCAATTTTCAGTATAATTGTGTAAAACTCAATTAAGAAATAATACATCGCTCAAAAATTACCATAAATTTATAAACTGTTTATTTAAAATTTTGTAAAGAAATTTTACAAAATTTTCAAAACTCACAAAAATCCGAATAAAGTTGAAATTCACTGTTCAGATCAAGGTATTTCTTTGATTTATACTCTGGTGGCTTTTTACTATTCGGCCCTCGACATCGTTGACATTGTTCCTTCTGACTGTTCCCACTAAATTTAATGATTGAAATCGTCAAAATCTTTTCCCCTTCATCCGAAACATTTGAAAAACCTGATAACAAAATTGTCACCAAATATAGTCACTCTATCACTTTGCATTAAAATTGCACAACAATTTTGCTACGTAAACTTTGTAAATTGCATGCCTGTAAAATATCACGAATCATAATAAGTGGATTCTTGTTAGGACTTCGGCGGTCCGAAATCGTGTTTGCAATTTCCAAAAAATATATTTTACAAACTTTACAAAATTTTGCAATTATTTCCGAGGAAAATTGGCTTACAAGTTATTGGAAACTTGCTCAGATCAAGGGCCACCGAACGGTGCCAATAGTTTCCGAGAAATTCAAAAATATTTAAAGAAAATCGAATCGAACCAGGGTTTCAAATTTAATTTTTGCAGAAACTAATATTTATAACCGACTTGGTAACAATTAGGGATGGTAATCCGTATCCTAAAATAACCGATCCATAGGATAGGATCGGATAAATACAGGATCGGATCGGATCGGATTTGCTCGCTTTAGGATCGGATCGGCTCCCGGTTCTACTCGAAATCCGATGCGATCCGATCCTAGGATATCCGCGGATGATCCAAGATTCACTTGATACGTATGTGTGAGACACCTTGTGTCTAACTATGGAAAAACTTTGCTGCTGCGAACCAGCTGCTTTTCTTTATTTATTGGATCGGTTTTTGGTGAGTTCATCACATGGCGTACGTTATCCGAATGAGCCGAATTGGCGTTCAAATTATTCAATTTCGTATGATTTGAACGCCAAAATAAAAATAACTGATGTAAAATAATAGGATAATTCGGCTCATTCGGATAATGTACGCCATGTGATGAACTCACCAAATGTGAAACGAGTTTACATCGGATGATCCGAGGATCCTGTGCGATCCTAGGATTTCATCGGTTCGGATCGGATCGGATTGTCTGATCCTCGGATCCTCTATCCGATCCGTGTGAAAATCCGATCCTATCCGAGTTTTTACGATCCTAGGATAGGATCGGTTACGGATTACCATCACTAGTAACAATGTAGAGATTTTACAGTAATACAAATTTAAAAATTAAGGTGGGGTCTGACTGACCATTGTAACCTCCGAGGTACATGCAGTTTCCGTATCCGACGCTGACTTCGACCAGGGCGTCAGGGTCTTCTGGCGTTTTTGTGATGGCGTCATTTGGTCAGCCAACCCATCACTTCCTGCCAAGGAGGACAAATATTTTAAAATATATTCAATAAAATTGAGGCAATTCACGCGGTTCTTGGTAACGTAAAATTCGTAAATTCTGTAATGCTGGAAACTTTTACAATATTTCAAAGAAAAAATAGAATATTTGCAAACTTGCTCAAATCAAGGGCGTCTTTTTACTTTGTAAAAGTTTGCAAATTATTTTACAAAACTTATGGATTTTGCAAACTTATAGAAAAGTCTACGTAAATTACTCTATGTAACTCATCCAAAGTTTTGAAGAGATTGCGAAATAAAAATATCAACCGGAAATTTCCTCGAATTTGTTTTTCTTTGAAATCTTATTGTAATCGACTTGCCATAAATCAATTCATGGGGACGAAGTACTACACATAACTACTGTTATTAATTTGGAAAATTTACCTGAAATAATATCGAGGTCCAAGTCCTAACAAAGCAAAAACTCCTCCAATTTCTGCAAGTTTACGCAGCATCTTTGAGACACATATTTCAAACCTCCTCCAATTCACGTCACAAACTTAATTAATATGTAAAAAGAACTATCTGTCAATACTCAAGTTTGGCAGAGATATTTGCATCCGAAGAAGAGAAAACGCACAGAAAAGTTGACAAGTTTTACACTTTCCAAATTTACTGCGCGTTTTCCCGCTTAGGATGTAAACTTGGGAGATCATGTTCTCTACAAATTTCATAATAATCAAAATTATGATCAAGTGAGTCTAATTTTCTCAAAATAGGAGAGCATACGCTGAGAAACCCTCATTGTTAGAAATGACAAAGGGGTGTAATTAATCTAATTAATCAACAAATACCTAATTCTACCCAAAAACAAATATAAATCCATAAATCTCTATTAAATTTGCGCTTTTGAATTTTTGAAATTTCTTATTTGGTAAATTTCAGACGCAAAACTTTGGTAGCTAATGGAAATTAACGTATTTTTCCTATTACAAAATTCGTAAGTCGTTACAAATACCCTCATATTTTGCTTAAGGTTAGCTTCGAAGACGTAGTTGTCTCAAAATATCATAGAGTAAATTAAACTGTACAAAATTTGCATCCCGCTTTGGACTTTGAGTTACATTAGCCGATTAGCCGAATCATTTTATTATTTAGCACTAGTTATTTTTAGTTTGGCGTAGAAATCATACGAAATTGAATAATTTGAACGTCAAAATAAAAATAACTGATGTGAAATAATTCGGCTCATTCAGGTAATGTAATCGCGGATCCAGCATGTCCTTCAAGTTGGACAAACTCCACACAGCAGAAATCTTCACAGTTCTCCCATACTCTTACATACATAAATACACAGCCATGTTCATAGATTTCAAACTAATTTATCGAGACTTAGAAATCGAATTTCGAAATTCTGCCCAGTGAAATTATAGACAATAAGCTGATTAATGAGATCCTCTTGAAATTTTTCCATTTCTACTAGCCAATTTTGCTGAGGTACAAATTTAATATAACATGTGGTCTTATGCTTTTTACATACTTTTTGTACCTCAGCTTTCAAAAACCACTGAAATATTGAATCTCTTCTTCGAGTATGTAGTCGCCGTATGTGATTTGACTAATGTGTAGTGATATTTTAATTTATTTTATCATTTGATTTCATTATTTTAATATTTTCTTGTATGAATTATGATTATGTATGAATATGGGATGATGCTTAACATTGAATTTGGACAATGAACTTGTCTCTGATTGGTTGAAAAGTTTTAACTTGTAATAACATTGAGTCTACGTGGCAGTTTTGGATACTGCATGGGTGGAAAAAAGAGACCCAAAAATCAGACCCGATTTAACTTTAGAGTGGAGAGGAGTTAGTCTCACCTCTCATATTCAATTTCGGAATTATAAACTTATTTGAATTGGTGTTAATTTGAAAACAACTAAATTTTGTACAGTAAAAAACGAGAGAAGAATTACAGTGTGTCAATAAAGTCCCGTTAAATCAGCTCATTAATTTTGCTGGCTTTGAGTGTACTTATTTACGACAAGTCACCCACTCGCCTTGCATAGTTAGAGCTGCCCCCCTTGGACGGAGACGCTACCCAGGTCAAGCTGAGGATCCGAGAGTGAAAAAATAAAAAAAGCGCCAGAGCGCTTACATGGTCTCGCGAACCGGATTCTTTGTGCTTTGGATGGACACCTTTTGTGACCTGTCGTTGAGGCCTCTGGATTCTCGTCGTTAAACAAACTGTACTTGCGGGGGGCGTGCCACCTCCAGATATAAAAGAGCACCACAACAGATAAGTTGGTTCCAATTGAACAGTATATTTGCCTGTCTGACTTTGTCGTACGACCCAACAGAAAGAGTTCGTGACGATAGGACGGAATCTGGCGTAATAAGAAGAGGAACTAGCAGCCCCGTGGTCTAGGGATCCCTCTACTCGAAGGTTGACGACATACCTTGGGAGAAAGTGTCGCCCGAATACGTGGGGTGCGTGCCACCTCCAGAGAGAAGGCACCGTTTTAGGCAAGCTATTCGATCCGATTTGAGAGAGTTAATTAAATTGTAAATTAATAGTCGAATCGACGTTATTGATTTGTGGTCGAGGTCACGATGTCGGAGGGAAGGAGGATCAGCTCCAGAAGAAAGGTGCCAACGGACCGCTACGGTGACTTCGTTGGACCACCACTACCTCGAAAACCTCGCACCCAGTCAGCAAATCAAACACAAGTGGAAGAAAGTGTCTCCTTGGGACTCACGGTCAAGAGCACCACAAAACAGCGACGCATCGACTTGGAATCAAAGAGAGAAGTCGCAAAATTGGAATCAGAGCACAGAGAAGTGAGAAAACAACATCAGACCAGCGAACTAATTGCCTCCGGTCTGAAGAAAGATGTCGACGGCGTCATGGAAGTCATCCTATCACTGCGCGAAAAAGATGAAGATGACGACAGAGAGAATAAAATTGAACAAGAGGAAGTCAAACTGACGAAATTGATCGAAGCGTTGCGAAGTGCTGAGCAAGATAGGGATATGAAAATGATCAATCTGCAATTTTCAGAAGAAGCCCTAAACTCAAAGAAAGCAATTTTGCAAGAAGAGGCGGAAGTAGAAAAGTTGGAAGTGGAGCTGGAAGAAGAAAAAGAACAGCAGAGAAAATCAATCGAAGGTCTCAGCAAAGGTGACAAGGTGGAACTCATATCAAATTGGGCAGCCAGCGCTGGTGACCACACATTTGCCAAATTGCTTGAAAAGAAAATGAGAATAAGTGCTCAAAATCAAGAATCCATACCGGTAGACGATTTGGGAGCAACGGAAAAAGAGAAGAAAGTTCAGCCAGATGATGATGACGAGTTAATCTCTGTAGAGGAGGATGCAGAATCCGAACCTGAGGATAGAGAAGAACTTGAACAATTGCGATTACGGTTCGCTCGATTAATTGGTAAAAATAAACAAGAGGATAAACAAGGACCCAACAAACCAAAAGCAAAGGATGATGATTCAAATATTATGCAAAGTATGGCAAAAGCAATTGCTGCAATGGCGACAGCGCTACCACACAATCAAAGTGTTAACTCGAACAAGATGATGGCCAGACAGATCCAAGGAAGAGATTTGCCTACATTAACTGGAAAACCAGAAGAGTGGCCATCATTCATCACATCCTACGAAACGTCAACAAAAACTTGTAAATTCTCCGACGGGGAGAATCTCATCCGGCTACAGAGGTGCTTGAAAGGAGAAGCCCTCAAAACAGTACAGTGCTTGCTAGTGGACGGGAAGGGAGTAAATGAAGCAATTCGAAAGCTGCGAGCTCGATTTGGCCGACCTGGAATAATCATCAACAGTATGATTCAAAAGGTGAAAGATACACCCTCAGTCAAGCAAGACAACTCGACAACACTGGTAAATTTCGGGTTGGAAGTAGACAACCTCGTGATGACCATCGAATCTCTTGGAGCGACAAGACAGATGGCCAACCCCACATTAGTACAGGAACTAATGCAGAAACTTCCAGCACAATTGCAATTGGAGTGGGCAAGGTGGAAACAAAGGAAGAAACTGGAATTTTCTCAACTCTCAGACTTCGCTGACTGGATCCGACCACTCACCGAGGCCGCATTCGAATTGTATCCAACGGGTAGCAAACTTGAACCTGTCACCCAAAAGCAACCTTATGAGAAGAAGGGCAACGGTCACAGGGGCCAGAATAAGCAAGAGCGAGCAATGGTAACTACCGAGAAATGGGAACGGAAGGGTGAACAAAGAAAGCCCAACAAGTGCACATTTTGTGAAGACGCCCACGCCGCCTGGTATTGTCCAAAATTCAAGGATGCCGACGTAGAAAGCCGGTGGTCTATGGTGAAAGAGAAGAACGCTTGCTACTGTTGCCTAACTCGTGGACATCGAACAAATGAATGTAAACGGAAACGTGAATGCAGAATTGATGGGTGCAATAAGCTCCACAACCGACTGCTACACCCCGACAACAAGGAGAAAAATTCTAGAAGTGAGTCGACCCTTACCACCCAAGAAACCGTTACCCCCAACGAGGCGGAAATTACCCTTTGCGCAACACAAGATGCAAAAGTCAACTACAACGTGATTCCAGTAAATGCAAGAAAGAAAGATGGATCACTTTTACCAGTATTCATCGCACTGGACAGTTACGCGTCATTGACTTCATCAGACGAGGAGACAAGAAAGAAGCTCGGACTAACAGGAGAGAAACGACCTTTAATAGTGAAGGGGTTCCAGTCTACAACGACCACCGAGGAGTCGTATGTCATCGACATTCAGATTGTGTCAAAGCTTGATGGCAAATCGTACACGCTCAAAAATGTACGAACCGTCCCGAAACTGGAACTACCAAGTCAGTCAGTGACCCGAGAAACAATCAATAAATTTCCTCATTTGCGACGTGTCCCATTGGAAAACTACAACAATATCCGACCAACTATTCTTGTGGGAATGGACAACTATATGTTGCATTTGCCAAAGGAAATTAAAGCAGGAAAAGATGGTGAACCTGCTGCAATTCGTACCGAGATGGGCTGGGCTGTTGTTGGACCGACAACCACGAAGATAAGCAAGAAGAATCACTCATATCGAATAAGTGAGACAGTTGACGACCCACTCCATGAAATGGTCAAGAATTTCTTCACTACCGAATATGTTGGAGTAAAGCCGAGTTTGATAAGACCTCGATCAAGAGAAGATATCAGGGCGCAAGAAATAATGGATCGCACCATCCGGAGAGTTGATCACGGGTGGGAAAGTGGACTACTTTGGCGTGATGATGAAGTGTCACTGCCCTGCAACAAAAATTACGCCTTCCAGAGGCTGAAGTCCATGGAACGGAAAATGGACAAGGATGAAGCGTTCGCCAAGCAATACGTGGAACGCATTCAAGAATATCAAACGAAGGGGTTTGCCCGAATACTAACCCCAGAGGAATCCGCAGTAGAAACTTCCAAAACATTTTATATGCCACACTTTATGGCGTATAATGAGAAGAAGCCCAAGAAATATCGCTTCGTATTTGATGCAGCTGCAAAAGTGAATGGACGCAGCTTAAATGACCACCTCCTCCAAGGTCCGGATAAATTAGTTTCACTTCCTGGAACTCTACTAAAATTTCGACAGAGAAGAATTGCTGTCACGGCGGACATAAAGGATATGTTCCACCGCGTCAAGATTAGAAAAGAAGACGCACCCGCACAACGATTTCTTTGGAGGGGGATGGACCGAGAACGTGACCCAGACGTTATGGAAATGGGCGTTCTCATCTTCGGAGCGTCATGCTCGCCTGCGTGCGCTCAAGAAGTTAAAAACAAAAATGCAGAAGAATTTAAAGAAGAATTCCCAAAAGCATATCAAGCAATTGTCCACCGCCATTACATGGACGACTTGCTAGACAGCTACGATACAGAAGAAGAAGCAATCAAGTTGCATCGTGACATCACAGAAGTCCACAAAAGGGGGTCATTCCACATTTGTAATTGGATGTCCAATTCAGCCGAAGTGATGGAAAAAATTCATGAAGATTTGAGAGCAAAATCAACCCAAATAGTGAATGTAAATGTAAATGTAAATGGAGAAGACCAGATTGAAAGGGTCCTCGGTTTATTTTGGGCACCAGAACCAGACCAATTTACATTCTGCCTTAAATATTTGAAAGCAAGACAAGAGGTCCTGGAAGGGTTACGAATTCCAACTAAAAGAGAGGTGCTATCCTTAGTCATGTCGCTGTTTGACCCGATGGGATTCGTGGCAACATTAATTGTGAAGGCCAAGATGATTCTTCAGCACACTTGGAGGAAAGGAGTAGGTTGGGACGACGAAATTCCCACCGCAACTCATCACGTGTGGCGAAGCTGGCTACAATTACTGAAGAGGATTCAAGATTTCAGAATCCCACGTTGTTATTCGGAAATCTTTTCAAGTGGAGCAGATGTTCAACTCCACATATTTGGGGACGGAAGCGAAGAAGCATTTGGAGCAGTCGCCTACTTCAGAATAGAGCTTGGCGACCGAATTTCAACAGCATTGGTAATGGCAAAGTCAAACGTCGCACCACTAAAACATTTGACCACTCCGCGGATGGAGCTACAAGCTGCGGTAATGGGGGCCAGATTGTCAAAGTTTATTAAGGAGTACATCGAAATCAAAATTAATCGTACCGTATACTGTAGTGACAATCAAACTGTGCTGGATTGGATTCGAGCAGATGGGTGCCGATTTCAACAATTTGTGGGGAACAGGATTGGAGAAATTCAAGATCTCACCGAAGTCAGTCAGTGGAGGTGGGTGCCATCAGCAGATAATCCAGCAGATGATTTAACAAGAATGGACAGTATTTGTGATTGGAACCCTGAAAGTCGTTGGGCGAATGGACCAGCTTTCTTGATGTTGAAAGAAGAATTCTGGCCAAAAGAAGAAAGTAAAAATAGAAGAATGTCAGATGAAGCTGAAAGAGCAAGTTCTTCACATTGAAGAGAAACATGAGGTCGCAATCGACGCGTCAAGATCGTCATCATGGCGCAAATTGATTGGCGCAACAGCTCTCATCTTCCGACTTGTAGAGAAATGTCGAAAGAAAGACATGCAAATCGGCCCGCTTTCAGTTGTGGAGAGAAAGTCTGCTGTACTATGGTGGAACCGAAGATCGCAGTCCGAGTCATTTCCAGAGGAAGTTATCCACCTGAGGGTAGGGAAGGAGTTGTCCAGTCGCAGCCGTTTAAAAGGATTGAGCGTCGTGCTGGAGGATGGACTGATGAAAGTAGCAGGGAGACTCGAAAACTCACCGCTACCGGCTGGAACAAAAAGACCAGTCCTATTGGATTCGAAACATCCATACACCAAATTACTAATCCAGTTTTATCATGATGTGTGTGGACACCACGGACAAGAGAGGATTGCAAACGAGATTCGACAGCAATACCAAATTATTGGACTCAAGTCAGCAGTAAGAGCAGCCCAAACTAAATGCAAATTGTGCCAAAAAAGAAGAGTAATGCCAATCCCACCGGAAATGGGTCAGCTTCCCAAGTTTCGAGTGGAAAATCCAGGGTTTCCATTCCACCGCACTGGGTTGGATTATTTTGGACCTGTCATTGTGAACGTAAAGAGAAGTAATGAGAAAAGATATGTTGCATTATTCACGTGCTTGGCCACCAGAGCCGTACATCTCGAGATCGCCGGATCCTTGTCGTCCGACTCTTGCATCATGGCGATGCGAAGATTTTTTGCGAGAAGAGGATGTCCAGAAGCAATTTACTCCGACAACGGCACTAATTTTGTGGGGGCCAACAATGAACTCAAGAGAGCGCTGAAAGAGTTGGATCAAGATAAGATCAAATCAGAATGCAGTATCAGAGGGGTGGAGTGGCATTACACACCTCCTCTCGCTCCCCACTTTGGAGGAAGTTGGGAAAGACTAGTCCGATCAGTGAAGACCGCTTTGGGGGACGTGCTGCAACGTAACAATTTAAAAGAAGAAGTTCTGTCTACATTCCTGGCCGAGGCAGAACATACAATAAATAGTCATCCTTTGACTCATGTACCAGTTGACCCGAACGATCCCGACCCGCTTACACCGAACCATTTCCTGATTCGCCGAGCCAGCAATCTACAGCCGATAGGGTCATTTGATCGCAGTGATTTGTATGGAAGAAAGCAGTGGAGAATTGTGCAGACAATTTCAAACGAGTTCTGGTCCAGGTGGGTAAAAGAATATCTACCGACGCTATTGCGACGCCAAAAGTGGTTCCAGCAAACCAAACCGATTCGCGTGGGAGACATCGTCCTGGAAGTCAACGAGAACCTTCGCCGAAATTTGTGGCCACTGGGGAAAGTAGTGAAATGCTTTCCTGGAGAGGACAAAATTGTGCGTGCCGTCGAGATTATGTATGGTAATGGACACGTATTGAAAAGACCAGTAGCCAAATTATGTATTTTAGACGTCGACCCACCCAAATTAGAAGAGAAGACGGCGACGTCCTAAAGTTTGGTATAAATTGTGAATTCATACGGGTGGGAATATGTAGTCGCCGTATGTGATTTGACTAATGTGTAGTGATATTTTAATTTATTTTATCATTTGATTTCATTATTTTAATATTTTCTTGTATGAATTATGATTATGTATGAATATGGGATGATGCTTAACATTGAATTTGGACAATGAACTTGTCTCTGATTGGTTGAAAAGTTTTAACTTGTAATAACATTGAGTCTACGTGGCAGTTTTGGATACTGCATGGGTGGAAAAAAGAGACCCAAAAATCAGACCCGATTTAACTTTAGAGTGGAGAGGAGTTAGTCTCACCTCTCATATTCAATTTCGGAATTATAAACTTATTTGAATTGGTGTTAATTTGAAAACAACTAAATTTTGTACAGTAAAAAACGAGAGAAGAATTACAGTGTGTCAATAAAGTCCCGTTAAATCAGCTCATTAATTTTGCTGGCTTTGAGTGTACTTATTTACGACAAGTCACCCACTCGCCTTGCATAGTTAGAGCTGCCCCCCTTGGACGGAGACGCTACCCAGGTCAAGCTGAGGATCCGAGAGTGAAAAAATAAAAAAAGCGCCAGAGCGCTTACAGAGTAGGACAACAACAATATTATCTATAACTAGAGTAGAGGCCCGTTCAAGAACGGGTTCTAGGCCCCCAGAGGGGGGTGTGCCCATAGCGCAAAATCCCTAAACTTTAAATAATTTCCAGTAGAGACTTTGTCCCTTGTCATAGCGCATACATGCATCAAAGTGCCCAAGTCATGCTGTATTTCAATTTCCCTGGTTACGGAACAATCTGATTTCCCCCTGTGGGAGTGGCTGGATAGCTAACCACTTAAATTCTCACGTTCCACGCTCCCATTAACTTCCACAAACCCCGTTAACTTCCACAAACCCCGTTAACTTCCACAAACCCCGTTAGCTTCCACAATCCCGTTTAACTTCTACAATTAACGCCAAGCTATTGACGGCATTGGATTCAGCGTCAAAAATACATTCGAATTGATATGCGAAATCACGAATAAGCAATATTTGAACCCCACGGTCACGGGAAGGTCACGGGGGCCTCGCAAGTCAAAACCATTGACGGCGTTGAATTCAGCGTCAAAAATACATTCGAATTGATATGCGACATCACGAATAAGCAATATTTGAACCCCACGGTCACGGGAAGGTCACGGGGGCCTCGCAAGTCAAAACCATTGACGGCGTTGGATTCAGCGTCAAAAATACATTCGAATTGATATGCGAAATCACGAATAAGCAATATTTGAACCCCACGGTCACGGGAAGGTCACGGGGGCCTCGCAGGTCAAAACCATTGACGGCGTTGAATTCAGCGTCAAAAATACATTCGAATTGATATGCGACATCACGAATAAGCAATATTTGAACCCCACGGTCACGGGAAGGTCACGGGGGCCTCGCAAGTCAAAACCATTGACGGCGTTGGATTCAGCGTCAAAAATACATTCGAATTGATATGCGAAATCACGAATAAGCAATATTTGAACCCCACGGTCACGGGAAGGTCACGGGGGCCTCGCAGGTCAAAACCATTGACGGCGTTGAATTCAGCGTCAAAAATACATTCGAATTGATATGCGACATCACGAATAAGCAATATTTGAACCCCACGGTCACGGGAAGGTCACGGGGGCCTCGCAGGTCAAAACCATTGACGGCGTTGTATTCAGCGTCAAAAATACATTCGAATTGATATGCCACTCGCTGTGGGTGGAGTTTCTCAAACTAAAATAATTAATGAATAGTGTTTATCAAGATTACTTATCATGATAACCACTATTGATGAGTGACGTATGTATGTATGTATACTGCTCACTCACTCAATTTACTTGCACACTGTGTTTATATACAAAGGCATTTAATTTGAGTTTGATGGCAAGTGTACGTACGTGAAAGTCACGTGCAGGCGAAGTTCAGACTCATGCAGTAGGGAGCAGCATTTTCATGCATGCAATTCACTCCGCGTCCTTCTTTGTCTTCTCTACGGGGCAACTGGCATCGCATCACTCCCCAGGCAGGGATCATACTACCACTTTATTAGAGTGGATATCAATGGGCAGAATTTTTAAATTCCTTCTAGTAGCTGAGAAATAAATCAAAATGTGCTGATTTTTGGGGTTGTGACGTCATTGTTATGACATAGGCTGTGACTCATGGAGTCTCACGTTAAAAACCTCCAGTCCAAATTATCAAGCCCAGGGTATCTTAACTTGTGATTAAACAATGTAGATTTGTCTGACAACAAATTTCGGCGTCGAAGTCTTGACAAAGCGAAAAAGAAAAAAAGTCATCCAATTTCTATAAGTTTTTTCGCAGCATGTTTTGTGACCTGATTTTCCTTAGTAATCATAATCATAACTACGGGCTGAAATTGAAAAGTTAATTATGTAATCAAAATTATTTTTATACAAAGAATATAAGCAAAATCCTTTATCATTATTCAGAAAGGTTTTATGCACATGTTCATTTGCATGTTCAACCCCTTAAAATGAGCAGACCCATATTTTCGCATAAAATAAAAAAACTTTCGCATATTTTGTTTAGTACGTGGCAATACTTTTAGAAAAAATATAGCTCTTTAGTTTACAAGTTTATAAAGTAAAAAAAGCATCAGTACAAAATTTCTTTTAAGAATTACACGTAGGAAAATTGTTTTATAAACTTTTATAACACAAAGAGACAAGTTTTTGACTAATTTGTAGCTAAAAAAACATTCCTTTCGGAACGACTTTTAACGATCCCCAACTTTTCCTTGGTTTTAATGAAGCAAAATATTTTTCGTAAAGTCGTTGGCGGACGTCAAAATTGCACCGCTCGCCAGGATAAAGGAAACCGATCTGAACAATTACATTTTATTTAAAATTACTTGTTGCATGTTTAATTAGCACGTGTACTAATTAAGTTTCCTCTATTGCGCTTGTAAATTCTGTAAGAAAGAGGAAACATTATGGAAAAGTCGAGGAAAATTTCATCGCTCTCAATAATATTTTGATATAATCTGATTCGGATTAATTTATAAACGTTTCCAACTTATTACGCAATTTATAAAGCTGCTAGATAGTAACATATTTGTAAACTGTATGAAATTCGTGGTACCGATGGTAAAACAAAATTTCAGCCAACGTTTAAAAATAGTTTTCAACGTTCCACGCTATTTCTTGCAAAGTTTACAAAATTTTGAATTTTGTTTGTTCTTCTCACTTTAAGAGTTCGGTGTTGTATCTGGTTTCCATCCTTCTAAATGTAGGGGACGGCTCGGAACATCATATTGTTGTGGTCGTCCATCGGTTTGATCCACGTTGTGCAGCACAACTTGTGCTCGTCATTCCAACATCAGCGAGAATTCGCCAAGCTGAAAAAAATTCAAGAAATTTCACGTAAATATTGGTACCCTCATGAGCACTTTATCCAGCAAACTTTGTAAACTTTGTTAATTTCTAATAGCATCCTTTTTATAACAATTCACATTTACGTCTCAAAGTTTACAAATATGTTTCAAGCCTATACAAGTCCTTTCGAAATTTTTGCCTTTCAGCGGATTGAGAACTCAAATCCTGTCAAAAATCCAGATTAATTTGGGAATGTTACGCGTCACGTACTTAATGATGATAATTTTGTGGAGATTGAGACGCCGAAATACATAAAGAATTGACACGATTATCAACTAATTTCATATACCTATTTGATATTTGCATATCTATCGTTCGAGAAATCAGAGTTCCCTACTTTTAATTAGCAAATTCATATGTAACTTAGGCTAAATCCGACAATTCATTTTCAACTTAATTCCTCAAAAACCAGTCCAAAAAACATATTTCGATCGATAATTATGGGAAATTTAGAAGCCAGGACGAAGCCAGGATGGAAATTGGGCGCATTTTTGCATTATTTGAAATAATGGAAATCATACCTCCATTAACCGTTCCCTTCTCCGAATTCTGTTTACTTTAGTTTGTCATAATTTGGATAATTTTCTTTTATATATCGACATCTTATTGGGTTACAAACATCCACGCGCAGTGTGAGGCAATTAACGTCAGCCTTCGTATGTAAGTCTGTAACCACGTAAACTTACCAACTTTTAATGAAACTTGGGAACGTCTCGAAGACAATTTTTGCTTGCGAACTTACAAAACCTTACGAAGATAAAGGACATGTTTTTGGTTCGTAAACCGATCTTGGTAAGTTATCGAGTTGTGTGATGAATAATTTAAAAATATGATTTAAAATCCATCAATTCTCTGAGGACCAAGTGAAAAATTTGTTGCAACAAATTTCACTGCACAAATTTATTTATATTCCCAGCACTTTATATACGAAGGGATTTCAAATATTTCAAGAAATATGCGGGCCATGTTATATAGGTAACATGTTTCCTTTAATTTTCGAACGAGGCGTAAGTTCTGGATTGATTTTTGGGGAATTAAATTGGAAAATGACAGTTTTGTTGGATTTGAACGCCATTTAGACAAATTGTGATATATTTGTAGCGAATATTTGTTTTAAAGGAAAGAAACCCGAAGTTTGTAGCGATCATTACAAAATTCGGCTTCCTTTCTTTTTACCTTTTTTTTAAAAAAAATGCTTCTATTGCACGTCGGTTTTGAATTCAACTTTTTCTGTCTCAACTTTCCCCCCTTGCAATGGCGATTTTGGAACCGGTTCTTCTCCCTGTTTTTTTAAAGAAGGTTTTATTGCATCATTTAAAAAACGCATGCGTATGAAAATCTTTCAAAATTCGCATTTTAATACATTGAAGAGGGGCAAGACGAGATACAAAAACTCAAATTCAAAACGCGCATGCAATGCTACCTTAAGATATCAATTCTTTTAAAAAATACCAAAAAAATAACATTACACTAACGACGTCGAACGCTGCATAATAAAAAAATATAGGAGTCGAAATCAAAATAATTCAGATTCTTAAAATTCCTGCATTTAATTCAAATCCACAATTCACTCGGATATTTTTAACTTGTAATAATTTTGTAAAATGTCTTGACAAACTTGTGCCAAATTGTAAATTTTCACGATCTCTGTTAAGTGCATGTGACTCACATTATGTGACCATATATATTTGGTGACAATTAAAATTTTACTAAAAAGTTATTTTACTATTGTTAAATGCAGGTGAATTAAAATTGAGAGAAAACGTGTGACAGATTGAAAAACTTTAAATTTCAAAATTTTCCAGAGATTACATAATTTTAAAGCATACAAAAAAGTTTTGTCCAATCCAGTTGCCACGCTTACATATTTGCTTTAATTTCCAGTCTAAATATAACTTGTGAACAATTAAAAATAAATAAATTGTGTAAAGCCAAATGTGCCAGATTTTACGCCAGATTTTACAAATTCCCATTTGTCTTCTCGGATATAAATGTTGTCAAATTAATAAAATTTATCGTATAAAAATATCTGAATCAAATCTATTTATTTTTACAAGTTTTTAAAAATGCGCAAATACGGCTTCCGGCGTCGAAGTTCTAAATTAAATGTTATACAACTACTTTAATTAACTGCGAAGCGAAATATTGCATTGTCACCTTTTTTACGCATTTCTTTGGAAATTTAACCTTTAATAATAATTTTGTCGATCTATATTTGTATCTTTTATGAGTAGCTACTGCGTGTATGAATATATATCGTACGCAACAAACAATTGACAATACATAGAAAGTTTAAATTGTTAATCGAAAGGGCCAAAAGTTGCGATTTGTGCAAAACATTGGTTGGTTGCTGACATTTGGGTCACCCAAATTTCAAAATATTCATACAAAAGTGACAATCATAGTCCATTATGATGTGACAACGTAACCATCCAGATGTTGTTGCGGTTATACGTAACCTAAACTTTTGACAACTGCGTGCATCTCTTGTATAATCATTAATATTTATGACCACGATTGTTCTAAATCGCATTGCAATAAATAAAATTAATGTATTCTTCGATGGATAGTGTATTGACAGCTACATATTCTTTAAAATGAAATTCGCCCAGCTATTAGTACTCATACGATTTGTGTCTGTCGTAGTTACAGGGTCTTATCACAGAAATATCTACAATATTAAGGAAAAAGTAAAATAAAAACATGTCAATTAAAACTTCTGTATTTTTTGCGTGTGTAGTAGGAATCTTGATGATCCAATTGCTCTTAGCATCAGATGTGTATCAAGGTATGTCAAAACTTAATGAGGGTTTTCACGTCACCTTCGTAACTGTCGTAAATAGCGTAAATTTACTGAAGCTGGGCTCGGATCTGCTTCCTCGAAAAAGTCCTGTTTTGATGGGTTTTGAGCGTGCACGCACTCTCGCCTACTTTTGCATGGAGTCATGTGAAATTTTAAACTTTGTCCTAGAGATGCGAAATTTGGCATGCACATGCACTAACATATGCTGCATCATAATATAACATAAATTCCCGTTCCGTTCGCTATAAATTTTTCAGGAAAAATCAAAAACCAAATGTTACCCCTATTCCGTTTGGTTTTTGATTTTTCCTGAAAAATTTATAGCGAACGGAACGGGAATTAATGTTATATTATGATGCAGCATATGTTAGTGCATGTGCATGCCAAATTTCGCATCTCTAGGACAAAGTTTAAAATTTCACATGACTCCGTGCAAAAGTAGGCCAGAGTGCGTGCACGCTCAAAACCCATCAAAACAGGACTTTTTCGAGGAAGCAGATCCGAGCCCAGCTTCAGTACGACATCTACGAAAATTCCATGTAGTGTATCTCACGGGTTCGGGTTCTTACTTCGGGTTTCGGGTTCGGATTCGGGTTCGGGTCCTGCTTCGGATTCGAAATTTCAGAACCCGAAACTTTCGGGTTCGGCTTCGGGTCCGAAAAATCTGATCCCAAAATTTCGGGTTCGGGTCGGGTTCGGGTTCCGACTAACAACCCGAAACCCGAATCAACAAGAATTTTTTGCCACAACGAACGCGAAAAAGTTAAAAAAGAAAATTAAAGTGTTAACCACACTTGCCAAGACGGTTATGCTGCCGTGATTCAGTAAACAATTCAAATTTTTAATTGTCGTAACTTCTTTTCACAAGTGTCTTCAATTAGTGTTACGATTTGAATATTAAAATAAAATATATCTTTTATCAAAAATTTGCTAACTAGTTAGTTTGAGCATACTTTAATATTGGAAACTTGAAACTGAAAATCATCTTCAGTTTTCAACTAATTTACAAATTTCTGAATGTCACGGAAAGCCATTATTAAAGGTCGATTTTTTTAGATTGCAATATTGTGGTCGAGGAATTAAAATTCAGCACATTTTAAAATGCATTATATTTATGCAGAAATGTGCTTAATTATAATTCCTTGGCTATATTTAAAGATAGTATAGTTGCTTTGAAAGCTTCCAAAGAATTTTTAGCTAAAAATTCAGCCCACCCATTAAAATTAAAATATATTCGGGTTTCCGGGTTCGGGTTTCGGATTTGATCTGCAAGTTCGGGTTCGGGTTCGGGTCCTTGCAAACGGGTTTCGGGTTCTTCGGGTTCGAGTTGCCCTCGGGTTTCGGATCAGTGGTATCGGGTTCTTCGGGTTCGAGTTGCCCTCGGGTTTCGGATCAGTGGTATCGGGTTCGGGTTCGGGTTTCGGATTTGCAAGAACCCGACCCGTGAGAAACACTAATTCCATGTTTACCAAGCTTCGTAAATATACGAAAGACTTGAGTTATCTTTTCGTTCATAAAAAAATTTTGTAAACATAAAAAATCATATTTCGAAAACCATAGTTACTGATGATATTAGGCAAGGAAAAATTAAAAACAATTTTTACAAAATATTTTTTACGAAGGGTTTTTCACCTCAATCCGTCGTAAATTTACGAATATTGTTTTACGAATCCACAGTTACGAAGTTCGTGAAAACCCCCAATGTAAATCTGGTCAAATAATTTACACTTATTTATTTAGGATTCAATATAGTTCCGTGCAAGAGCGTGGGAGGTGAGTGTACGTCCGTCGGCTCATGCAAGGGTCCTGCTTTGTTTGAAAATGCGACAGATTGCAACCCACAGAAAAATAATCGGAGTTGTTGCGTTTATCTTTTTGACTTTGTTCCATCGGGATCACCTCCAGCATCGGGCTAAACTTATGCATCTACACACGTGCATATTAAATGTAGTACAAATAATAAATATGTACCAAAGGTTTTGTTTCAAATAAAGTAAATTTCTGTAAATTAATGTAAATTGTGCTATGTAGTCGTACAGAATGTCAGAATTTGATGTATAAATTTTACCGTAAAATCTTTACCCCTTCATCTAAAACACTTGAATTGCCTAGTAACAAAAATGTCACCATTTCTGGTCACTATGTATTACCACTTGCATAATAATTTCAGAACAGTTCAAAACATTTTGGAAATTGTAACCTTTGTAAACTTTATAAAAATGCATATGAATTGTCATGAATCATAATATAATAAACAGATTTCTGTTAGAACTTCGGCGTCGAAAATCGTGTTAATACTTTTTGGGGGGAACAAAATAATTTAGATACTTTCCAGGAAATATAGTGGCTTCCGATTTTTCCATAAAAACATATTTTGCCAAATAATTTGTTAAAACTGTTTATTAACTTTGCATTTATTTTTTAATTCTTACATAATTTTGAAAATTTGTTTTAAAAGTATTTGATAAATTTTTCTTGATCAAGTTCTCTTAACAACTGTCCGGTTGCCATGGAATTAATGGCAAATCGTCCAATTTTTCTCCCCTTATGAACTCGGTGGTCAATTGTTGACCAAGTTCCTTTTGTCGGATGGTGTTGAGGTCGAGGAAGGTCAATTGGAGGGTCCCAAAGCCGGCCCCCGTCGCCCAGTAAACCATCCACAAATCCGACCCCCATTTTGAGAGGAGGAACGTCGAGGGGGAAACTTGGATCAGCCAAGCCTCCCCCATTTTCCCGTATTTCCAGTAAAGTTGAGGATTTCCGTTTTCGTTGGTGCGGATCGAAAGGTTAATTTCACCTGGGAAAGGGATACGTTGATAGGATTAAAGTTTGGTAATAATGTGTTACCGGAGACGTTATTCTTAGAAATCAGGTATTAAAATAATACCAAGCGGTATTCATATATGACTGCTGATTGTTTTTTGATAAGTAATCCCGTGTAATAACAGCTCGGAATTAAAGTTTTCCCATATCGGTAGCAAATTTTTACGGACCGGTATAATTTTAATACCAAGCGATAAGAACTTTAATACCGAGCAATCAAAATCTGCCAAACTATACCAGATTTCTAACAGTTACACGGTAACTTTTACCAACCGGTAATTCATATATCGGTTTACACATTTGTCATCATTTGGTAGTTAACGTACCATTAAATCCGCTCCCATAAGTGCCAACTGCTTGCTCGAGTGAAATGTTGACAGCGTTTGTTTCAGCCCATTCAAGACTTCGAGTATTCGCATTTCGACGTATGTCGAAAGTCGGAAAACCGTTAAACATCGAGTGATAATCAATTTTCGGTAGGTTCCCAGTTTTTACCGGAGATCCTGAAATTATGGCAAAATTTCTTTAAAAATTACATCATTCACGGAGTAACCACCATTGTAACCAGTTTTGGAAAGTTTGGTAAGAAAATTATGAATAGGTAAATCTACAAAGGTTACAAAAATCCAGATTTCAGAACCCCTTTGTTTCACAAAATTAGATAATAGTATGTCGTTTTAAAGTAAATTAATAGATTTTATATAGTTTAAACAAATCGACGAGATACTTGACTCAGATTCATCTGCTTAAATTTGCCCGATTAAAAATACATTTCTCAAATATTGCAATCTGTCATATTTTCACGTCGATGAATATATTTTATTAATTTTAAGATGTAAATTATAATGTGCAGATAGGTCGTCCTTCGTACTCATTAATTTGCATTTTAAGATGCGCTACACACTTTATCCGACCATGAATTTATCATAACTTGGTCAGTTTGGAAACTTAAGTAAAAAAAAAATACTATGAGGTTAATTTAGAAAAGTGTACAGATTTACAGGGCGTTCTGAGTTACAAAAATCTATACAGGTTTCTTGGTACCATTGCAAAATCCGGTAGCTTTGAAGAATTAGATGAAAAACCGTGTCGACATGTTTTACGGATTTTATAGAGTTTAAACAAATCTAGATGTGTTGCACATCTGCGTAATTTTGTCCGATTAAAAAAATAATAGTATATCAGAAATTTGAAAAACTCATATTTTCACGTCGATAAATAATTCTACTCAGGTTGAAATTTAAATTACAATGTGCAGATTGGTTTAGAACGTTCCATCAAAATTGAATAAGCTTTACTGTTACTTTACTTTGTTTAATGAAGATGCATCTGCGTAGATTTGCAAAATTTTGCAAAAATAGATAAGAAATTTTAACCCCCTCGTAGTTTCACGACATGTATACATTTTACTCGTTTTAAGATACAAATTAATTATGATGTCAAGATTGACAATTGGAAATTTCCAAAAATTTGTCGAACTAGATAAATTTTATATAACTGTGAGTCGTTTTATATAAATGTGTTGCACATCTGCGTAATTAATTTTGCCCGATTAAAAAATAACAGTATATCAGAAATTTTAAGTCCTTCGTATTTTCACGTCGATAAGTAATTTTACTTCTGTTAACATTGTAAACTACAATGAACAGATTGATTGAAAACTGATTACTATCCGTAGTGACCATATTAAACATGACGCTTATGAAGTCATCCAACTCAAATTGAATGAACTTAACTGACAATGGAGGTCTCCCAACGTATGCTCACAGATTTGAACCAAACTAGCGTCAATCGATCACAAATATAATTAGTATGAAATTTGCAAACGGCACAATCTCCCCAATGCTCAAGTTTAGCGGAGATATTTGCATAAAAAGAGGAGAAAACGCACCCCAAATGCTGGCAAATTTTTCATTTTCAAAATTTGCTGCGCATTTTTCCCGCTTTTAATGCAAATATCTCCGCCAGACCTGCGTATTGGCAGATAGTTCCATTTGCAAATTTCATACTAATTATATTTGTGATCAGTTGACGCTAATTTCGTCCAAATCGTGGGAGACCTCCACTGTGAGACAAATACATTTTTACGCATTTTAAAATATTAATTATGAGAAAATTGACAGTTGACATTTAGAAATTTCCAAAATTTTGTTGCATTTAGTAAATTTGATGCAATTGAGTCATACCCGTGACCATGTTAAATATGGCGCTTGTGAAGCCTTCCAGCTCAAATCCGCCCGGACCCGGACCCGTCAAACTGGCGAACATGCCCAGCCCCAAATCCGGGTAGAGGTAGAACATTGTTATGTAGGGAGGGATGTATCCCGTGTGACCTACCCGGACCCACCCTAAATATTCAAAAATATGGTTAACTAAGCAATTAAAAACCCAAATTTGTTAGCTAAAAAACGAAATTGAAATTTTGAAAACCCAGCCAAAGGGCAAAAGTATAATTTGGTCCATCAGCAATGATAAAATTGCTACCATTTTCAAGTCAATATTTGTCACTCAACGGTAACAATAGTTTCCAGGAAATTCAAAATATTTACAGAAACCAATAACCAAATTTAATCGTTTTTTCGGGAACTATTGATAACCAACTTGGTAACAATATAGAGAGATCTTACAGTAAATAGAACCATTCACTGACCATTGTAAACCCCGAGGTACAAGCAGATTCTGTATCCAACGCTGACTTCGACCAGGGCGTCGGGGTCTTCTGGCGTTTTTGTGATGGCGTCGTACGTGCTGCTCGAGACTTTGGTCAGCCAACCCATCACTTCCTGCCAAGGAGGACAAATATTATTCAATAAAATTGAGGCAATTCACGCGGTTCTTGGTAACTTTGTAAAATTCCCAAATTCCGTAAATTTACAACCTTTCATAAAATTTTACAACTATTTCTGAGGTAAATTAACTTACAATTTTGTGTAAACTTACTCATCCTCAGAGCAAAGGTATCTTTTTATTTAGTGAAAGTTTTTAAGATGATTTTAAAAAGTTACAAAGTACTGCGTCAATTGCTTTATGCAGCGTGACCATAGTATTGAGGAGATTACGAAGTGAAAATATCAAGAGAAAATTACTTTGAGCCTGATTTTCTAGCGGTAACAACTACGATTGATAACTATAAATTTATTACCAACCGGTAATACCCACTTCTCAAATCGGTTTACACATTTGAAGTCATTGTGAAATTGGCATAACATTAAATCCAAGTTTAAATTTCTTGTCCGAATAAAATGTTGACAGCGGTTTTGTAAAAGTTTGTGAAAGTATTTTACAAACTTCTGTGCTTAACTTCTATGGATTTTACAAAGTTACAAAAAGACTGCTTGAATTGCTCTATGCAGCGTGAATATAGTTTTGAAGAGATTACGAAATGAATGAAAATGGCAAGAGGAAATTACTTTGAGGCTGAAATCTCATTGTAAATTTAGCTAATTAATCCGCAATAATAATTACGACAGAGAAACAATTTTACCTAATTGTTGTTATCGATTGGGAAAATTTAACTAAAGCAATCTCGACGTGGAAGTCATAACAAGGCAAAAAAATGCCATACAATTTCTGCATGTTTACTATGTTTCGTATTTTGTGACATAATTTCCCTGCGTAATTTGCATTATGGATTGAAACTGAAAAATTAAGGAAAACTGTCAAGCTTCCTGAAACTAAGGGGGTAATCCCTCTGGGGGCAAATTAAAAAAATTGTGAATTTTACCCAGAAACGTAAATTTTTCTTGGGCCATTATTTTGCAAGGGGCGTTTTTACAAATCACAAATTTAATTAATATGTGTGACATTTACAAAAAAGCGGCATGTACCAATGGTCACGTTTGGCAGAGATATTTGCATCCAAAGAGTAGAAAACCCACAGAAAATTTAAAAAGTCTAAAATTTTTATATTTTAGGGTGCGTTTTCTTATCTTCGAATGCAAATATATTTCTGCCAAACGTGCAGATTGGGAGATCGTGTCCTTTGTAAATTTCATAGTAATTAAATTTGTGGTCAATGTAAACTAGTTTGGTCAAGTCGATTGTTAAAAGTATGACATCATTCTAGATTAGAAATGCATCTACGTAATTTGTTATTAACAAATCTAAATTTATTCAGAAACAAATATCGACGTCGAAGCCCTAACAAAATAAAAAGTCGTTTTTGTGATGGCGTCATACTTCCTGCTCGAGACTTCGGTCAGCCAACCCATTACGTCAAGGACAACAAATATTTTAAACAAGATTCAATAAAAATGATGCAATTCACACAGTTCTTGGTAACATTGTAAAATTCGTAAATTCTACAAATTTACAAACTTATACAAAATTTTACAACCATTTCTGAGGAAAATTAGCTCCAAAATTTTTGTAGTTCAAGGAGGTCTTCTAATTTTGTAAAGGTTTGTAAAATTACTTTACAAAACTTATGGATTTTACAAAATTACAAAAGTCTGCGTGAATTACTATATGTTACGTATCCATTATTTTGAAAAGATTACGAAATAAAAATGTCAAGAGGAAATTTCCTTGAATCTGATTTTCTTTGAAATCTTATTGTCGATTGACTTGCCATGACATTTAATGCAGAGACAAAAGCTATGGATGTATCTAATTGCTGTTATCAATTTATTAAAAATCTGTCTGAAATAATATCGACGTCGAAGTCCTAACAAAGCAAAAAAAAAGTCATCCAATTTCTTCTAGCTTACGAAACATATTTTGTAAACATATTCAAGTCACAAACTTAATTAACATTAAAAAGAACTATTTGCATCCGAAGCAAATATGTAAACGCACAGTAAAGCTGACAAATTTTACACTTTCCAAATTTATTGCGCGTTTTATCCACTTTGGAAGCAAACATATGGGAGATCATGTCCTCGGCAAATTTCATATTAATAAAAATTGTGATTAAGTGAGTCTAATTTGCTTAATATCGGAGAGCATACGCTGAGAAACCTCCATTATTAGAAATACTAATGTAATGGCGAGGCAATGGATCTAATTATCTTCTTAACAACTGAAGTAGATTTACCCAAAAACAAATATCGTCGTCAAAGTCTGAACACAATAAAAAGTCGTTCAATTTCTGCAAGTTTATATATGGTATTCATTTCGAGCCTGCAAGTTCACCAGTTCGCCAAAAAAAATTCGCTTGAAAATTGATTTGTGAACTTGCGCATCTCCAGGGCTAGTATTTAATTCGCAAAACATTTTTCATCAATTTTGCAATGGGAAAAGTCCATAAATCTCTATTAGTTACTGATGTCTGGCCTTTTGAATTTCTTATTTGGTAAATTTCAGACGCAAAACTATTACCAAGATCAAGGGCAAAAAAACTTATCTACTAAACTTGTTCCAATTTACGTCAATAAATGTAGGTTTCATATTAATTACAATTGTGATCAATTGAGTCTATTTTGCTCAAACTCGGAGACCATACGCTGAAAGACCTCCATTGTCAGAAACACTACTGAGGATGAGGAATACTAATGGTAAGAACACTAATGAATCTGATTAACTTGTTATCATCGAAGCTAGATTTACCCAAAATCAAATATCGACATCAAAGTCTTAAGATAATAAAAACTCGTTCGATTTGTGAATTTCTCCAAGTTTACGAAACATAGTTTGCTAGGAAGCCTCCATTACAAACAAATATTACCAATATCAAGGGCAAGAAAGCTTATCTAATAAACTTGCTACCAAAAAATGTAGATATCTGTGGAAACAAATTTCGACGTCGAACTCCTAACAAATTCAAAAGTTATCCAAATTCGGCAAGTTTGCGAAACATATTTTGTGACCTGATTTTCCTTAGTAATCGTTATTAGAGGTTGGAATTGAAAATCAATTATCTAATCAAAATTGTTTTTATACGAAAAATATAAACAAAAATCGTTTATCATGATTCAGTTAGGTTTTTATGCACATGTTCTTACACATTAACCCATTTAAAATTTGCAACCTCCTCTTTTTGCATAAAATATAAACTTTACTATATTTTTTAGTAAATGGTAATACCTTTAGAAAAGTATAACTCCTTAGTTTACAAGTTTATAAAAGTAAAAACATCGGTACAAAATTCTTTTAAAGATTACTTACTCATGGAAAAATCATTTTACAAGCTTTTAGATAATATAGATGTACCCACGATTTATTGAAGTTTATGACCGATTCATAGCTTAAAAAAACTTACTTCCGGAACGACTTGACGATCCCCAACTTTTCCTTTGTTTAAATGAAGCAACATATATTTCGTAAAGTCGTTGGCGGACGTTAAAATTGCTCCGCTCGCCAGGATAAAGGAGACCGATCTGCAAATTCACATTTCATTTAAAACTATTTGCCACATGCTTAATTAGCACGTGTACAAAGTAAATTTCCGCTGTGCTTGTAAATTTTGTTAAAAACACGAAAAATTATAGAAAAGTTAACGAAATAGAAAAATTCATCGCTCTGTTACACTCCAAACTTCTAAACTATTCCTTTCAAGGTACAAAAAAAATTATGCAATTTACAAAACTTCCAATAGCATATTTGTAAACTGTGTAAAATTCATAAGACACATTGGATAATCAATAATTTCGTTCAATGTTTAAAAATAATTTTTAACTTTACAATCTTTTTCGGAAAGTTTACAAAATTTGGATTTCTTTTTATTTGTCTTCTCACTTTAAGAGTTCGGGATTATATCTAGTGTGATTTTCATCCTTCCAAATGTACGGGACAGCTCGGAACATCATGTTGTTGTGGTCGTCCGTGGGTTTGATCCACGTCGTGTCCATCATTCCAGCATCAGTGAGGAATTCGCCAAGCTGAAAAAATTCAAATAATGCAGTTCACGTAGGAATTGGTAACGTAGTAACACTTCATCTAGCCTACTTTGTAAGCTTCACAAATTTATAATTAGTAGGCATTTTCTACCTATTTCTATGAATGTCTCAAAATTTGCAAAGTTTCCGAAAATGTTTCAAGATTATAAAACACTCATGAAATGCACGCGGTCCTTGGTAACTTTGTAAAGTCAGCAAATTCCGTAAACTTACAAGGTTTGACAAATATTTCTGAGGAAAATTAGCGTACAAGTTTTTCTAAACTTATTCAGATCACGGGCGTTTTTTTATTTTCTAAAAGTTTATAAAATTATTTTCGGGAAGGTCTGAACTCTTTTTAGTTAGCTCTGAAGAATACGTAAGCTATTCACCTTTTAATTGTTTTTAATTATCATTATTTCCCAATAATTTACTAACGGCGTTCAAATTATTCTATTCAGACTAGTACAAAATTTTACTGTTTCGTGTAAAAGGATAAAAATACTTCAACCACTTTGGATAAATTTGCAGAAAAAATTTAGAAAATTTTTACCCCATTATAACTGCTACATTGCTAGATTGGTCTTTACCTTGTAACATGTTAAGTTAGAGCAGGTCTGGATGAGTTATTTACCCATCCTCCCCCCAAGCAGCCCATATAGCACAGCGGTCTTCGCGGCAAGCCTCCAAGTTTTGGGGTCGTGGGATCGAACCCCACTCGGGGCATTTATCCTCGTTTGCATTTTTCTTGATTTTGTAGACCGTTTTCTTTAGTGGGGGTATTATAACTTTGACCTATGATGACCTGGTGACTATGTGCACCGAAGCCGACTTATCCTATTATTTTACACCAGTTCATTTTATTTTGGCGTTCAAATTATTAAATTTGGATAGTTGAATGATTTTCACGCCAAACTAAAATAAACTTGTGTTAAATAATAGGATAATTCGGATGACTCGGCTATTACCCGAGTTTATTTTAGTTTGGCGTGAAAATCATTCAACTATCCAAATTTAATAATTTGAACGCCAAAATAAAATGAACTGGTGTAAAATAATAGGATAAGTCGGCTTCGGTGCACATAGTCACCAGGTCATCATAGGTCAAAGTTATAATACCCCCACTAAAGAAAACGGTCTACAAAATCAAGAAAAATGCAAACGAGGATAAATGCCCCGAGTGGGGTTCGATCCCACGACCCCAAAACTTGGAGGCTTGCCGCGAAGACCGCTGTGCTATATGGGCTGCTTGGGGGGAGGATGGGTAAATAACTCCAGACCTGCTCTAACTTAACATGTTACAAGGTAAAGACCAATCTAGCAATGTAGCAGTTATAAGACCATGGCTTTCTTGAATTGTGGCACTGGTCACAAAATTATGAGTTGGCATATGCAACACATCTTCAGAAAAATTTGATACAAAAATTGGGGTGTCCAAAAAATTGAAAAATTACTCGGATAATTTTCAGGTAACGATTTCTGACTAATTAAAACTAATCTGGGGATGGTGTATTCGTCGCTTAAAATATCTGCGTGCTTTGCTTATTTATAAAGTTGTCAAGTCTAAAAATTTTCGAAATTTCTTCAAAATTATCTATGAATTTTTTAGTAGTCATTATAATTCTTACCAAGTTTTCGTAAGTGGTGTTGGCCATATGCGCCAAAATGTGAGACGCCATTGCAATCAGGCCATTGTTGTAGTGGAAAGTTGTCCGAAAAGGTTCCGATTCTGGGGCATAACGATACCGGCTGAAATTAGTTGTATTAATTAATAAATAATGTAAATCATGGGAAACTCAATTTGCAATAAATTTGGAAGGATTTCATATTCATTGAGTGACTTCACTACCGTGGTAATATTTTTTTAAGAAATTAATATACCTGGAACATGTTTTAGATGTTTCCAAAAATGTTACCGGCTTGGTAAAATATGTATTTTTGTACCAATTATTGCTTTTTACCAAAAGCACTGAGTGACTTCACCGTCGTGGTAATATTTTGCACAGAAATGACAATCCTAAAACATGTAACAGATTTCCTATTCTTCCTGTACTGTTACCAGTTTGGTAAAATGTATTTTTATCAGTTATTGCTTTTTACCAAAAAACAGATTATTTTTTGTCCACAAATATTGAATTCTTGCGAATTTGTACTAAACTTGGTAATTGTTACCAAATGGTTAAAATGAATTATTTGTTAAACGAGCAATATTTATTTACCAATTTGTACCAAAATTTGTACCAATTTTTGTTACCAAAGCAGATACATAATTTCAAAAATGTCTAAACTCACAAGAACATTTCGTCCACCGTGTCATAAGCCTGCGCCAGCATTCCCGACATTTCCGCCATGATGTCAACCCTGTGCGCCAAGAGGTCACGAAAGGTCACCCGCTCCGACCTGTACCTGTCCACCAGGGTAAAATCATATGTGGGCGCTAACTCTCGAATCGGCACGTCCAAAACGGATTCTCCCAACGCGGGAAACAGCTCATTCAACTTTTTTGCAATGATCACTCCCGCGAAGGATTTGGAAGCTGAGCCAATCGCAAAGAGTGTGTTGTTATCGGCGGGAAGGTTGTTTTCCAAGTCGCGCAGTCCGTAACCCTTGGTGAAATGGAGGTCACCCGTTGACCTCACGAGGGAAAGGGCCAAGCCAGGAATGTGCTGTTTTTCCATCATTTGGACAACAAAAGTGTCAATTTGTTCTTCTAGTTCGGGGGGAATGACGTTCTGTAGGGTGGAGTGAGACACCCAAGCGAGGAAGAGCACTAGGGTGGCGGGAAGTTTAAAATTTCCCATGGCGATATTTAAACAAAAATTGTTTGTAACGGGGGAAGGTTTGTAAAATAATTTTACTAAAGGTTTCAAAAAATACGAGATGCTAATTTTGTAATAAAAAAAAGTTTGCAAATTTTTTAAAGATCCGAGTAAGAAGCTTTGCTGAAATGAAATGATGTTCTGCATGAAAATTTGCATATTTATATCCATGCAAAAATTGGGTTTAGGTACAAATTATGTAAGTCCACATTAATCCAGGTAAATAAGTCCATATATTTTTAATGGAAGGATGTGACGAAAAATGGGATCAAATCTTGACACCGTGACGAAATTCGTTCCATGACTAATCTGTCGGTGCAGAGATCAAAATTGTTATTACTGGAACAAATGCACGTATTAATTTGTTGTGTAATCTGACAAATGGGGGATTAATTCGGGAAAAAGGTGAGTGGAGTCAGGTACATTATTGTTCACTGACACTCTAAATAACACGGTAACAAAACTGGACAATTTGTTACCAGTTGGTGGCAAATCGCTTGTAAACTTTGCACACTCACTTTGCTAGAAAATTAACCAAATTGCACAAAAAATAACTGGTAAAATTATAATAAATTGGTAACAAAATTGTTTTGAAACATTAATCTCAACCGGGTTATTGGTAACTATTTGCTATCAGAGAGTAATAAAAATTGAAATTTCTTTCTCTTTGAAATCTTTGAAATTCAGATTTGTACCCCTTCAGTGAAAAATTGATTCTACGGTGGTGGCAAATTTCATCTTCACCTAAAATTCCTATGTAAATCGTCACACAAAAGGTAACGATTCTGTTACCACATTATTTAGAGTGTACTATTTTGCCAAAGTATGGTAAATAATAGCAGAAAAAGTGGTGTGATGTTTACTTCGTGCACTTTATAATTTGGTGGCGTGAGGGACAAATCCGACATTTTCTAATCGGTGATTAATACAGAGAAGGACTTTTGTCCGAGCTGATTACTAAATTTTTGGGTATTTCCAGCCACATTATATTATGACGTATGTAAACTGTGTAAAGTTCGCAAATTTCTACCGACACGCGAAATACTCGAGAAATAACGGCAGGGAAACCGAAGGGACCACTAATCCGTACTGGTTTATTGCAATCTTAAAATACGGTTAATACACTTCTCGACGTGAAAGTATGACAAATTGAAATTATTCCGACATTGCGACATTGGAGCTTTCAAAATATTAGTAACAACATTTCGTCAATTTACTCAGGCACATGTGCTAATTATTTTACTTGCATAGTTTACGTACAATCAATCATTGTTTTGATATTTTTTTAGGAATACAATAAAATAAAGCATGCAGATTCATACTGCCAAAAACACAGTCAATGTACATAATTCAGGCTTATCCCCCTTAACATTTTACCATCCGGCACTGAACAAACCACTCTCCGATGTTGAAAATTTCATGAAATAAACTTGGTAATTTTTGGATTTTTTTCAAATCTAATGCCTTAATCTTTATTGACGTTTAAATTTTACTAACTTATTTTGAGTGTACCTTCTGAATGATTTCTAAGCAATTAAATTGAGATATTTAAAAAGAAATGACTTGTCAACCATTATGAAGCATCGATGATTTGTTAAATTATCGAAATAAATGTGAAATCTGTACAATTTTAATTTTCATGTATTTAATGCGTTAGTTTTTCATCAAGCAAATAATAAAGAAATAGAAATTCTACTCATTTTAAGTGATGCAAACGTATTAATTTAACTCTGGGGGTGCTCACAGGTTTCGCTAATTGCATTGCAAATAAGGTGTAAAGTTTTCGAAATTTGTCAGACATTTTGTTGCAAAATAATGTCTTGTTTAAATGTCGCCATCCAGTTTAGACTGTAACGAACTTATTTTTTCGAGTGTAATTCCTGCTTGATTTCTAGTCAATTAAATTGAGAGAATCGATTGATACAACCTTTCGAACATTAATCATGGATAATTTGCTAAGTTATCAGAATAAACGTGAAGTCTGTTCAATTTTTATATTGCATGTTTTTTTTTACATAATTCGTTAGTTTTTTCAGGCAAATTTAGTAAAGAAGTTCTACTCACTTTGAGTGACACAAACATTAATTATAGTCTAGGCGTACTCACAAGTTTTGAAAATTGCATTGCAACCTAAGTTGTCAAGTTTTTCGAAATTTTGCCAGATTTCGTAACACACTTTGTTGCAAAAACCAGCAGGTTTTTACAGATTTACAGAGAAATTTTCTCTGATTTCAAAAAGGTTGATTAAATGGTTGTGAAATAACCTGGCCACTTGAGCAATCCATTATGCGAAATTGAAAGAAATTGAAAAAAATCTAGGTACAGATTTAGCAAGAAATATTGTAAAAATTAGGATGATGAACGTGAAACTTTGGCAATTTTTAAGTTTTGTTAAACTGAACAAATTCACAATGGTTGCTGTTAAATAACAAATTAAATTAAGTTGACCAGTTTAATTAGTCAAGCTAGTTATCTTAGTTTGTGTATTGGTCACGTTTAGTTGATAACGCTGATTTGTAACCCATATTAATTTGCAAAAGATGAATAAATGGTAACAAATATATCTGTATTGTAAGATTACGATGCGTGCATTCTAAAATTATTAGAATCAGTGTGAATTCTGTACCATTTTATTTTACGCGTAATGTCGTAACTTTTTAAGAAAATTTGGCAAATAAGTTCTACCTTGAATACTTACAATGGGAGCGCAACCCATGTTCAGCCGGGATTATTTTTTGACCATGTTAGTTTGAAAGAGGAAGTCTTTAGAAACAACATTTGGTTTGGCACTTGCGCAGATGCGCAAAATTCAGCGCGTTATGGGCGCCGCAAGTTCGCAATAACTGCTGCGCGCTGCACATTGTCTGAAAAATCATCCGTTTTTGCGAACTTGCGGCGCCTATAACGCGCTGAATTTTGCGCATCTGCGCAAGTGCCAAACCAAATGTTGTTTCTAAAGACTTCCTCTTTCAAACTAACATGGTCAAAAAATAATCCCGGCTGAACATGGTTTGCGCTTCCATTGTTAGTTAAAATACTAACTTAAGAATATTACTATTGTGTAAATAAAACTTTTTACATTTGATGCAATTAAAATCAGTGAAATTTTTAAATGTACCCTTGTGACCAGTTATTAGGAAGATTTTCCAAATAGCTATAATAATATGTTATCTTCATGCTCATTAGATGCATAATCCCAACCTGTTTTTTTTAAATTAGGCACTAAAACAACGCACATTTAGGTCATTAGATGTTTAAGTATAACATATTTCGTGATCAGTCTTCATATGTTTATCGATTTATTTCTATATAATTTAGTAAAATTTTCGCTTTAGCAAATTTACTCCCAAGATGATTTACCCAAATTAAGAAATTAATCCTTTAAACGGCATTCCTAAAAAGTGGGAGAAAAGAATTAAATTTAAAAAATAAAATGTAAAATGTGAAATCTTTATGTAAAAATTGAAATATATTAGATTTGATTTTATTACTCGAGAAATGTATTTGCTTAAATCTTCGATTTCTTCAAAATCACCGGAGAATAATTAATTTTTCAGGAAAATTTAGTAAATAAATTTTACTCATTTTAGGTGAGAATCAAAAATAGTAATTTTATTTTGGGCGTACTCACAAGTTTCATAATTGTATTAAATAATCAAGTTAATCTGCACTATGGGAATACCCTGGAAGAGCTAATAAATACGATTTGCGGAAATCTCCCGTCCACCGACTCCCGCCCGCGTTCTTCCGCCCATTTACACCCGCCCGTGGAAATCTTCCGCCCACCGACTCCCGTTGACCCTCTCCCGCCCGTGAAAATCTCCCGTCCAAATCATCTCCCGCCCGTAATTTTTTTTGAGTAGTATTTATTTAGTCAACAGCATTAAGCATCAATCATGTAACCCGTTAAAAGCACAGTCAGTATACTTTTACAAAACGAAAAATAACAATAAGCGAAATAATAATGAATACATTACAAATCGGACAACCTCACTTAAATTAATAAAGAATGATAAAAATCATTACAAACGAATAATCAAATTATACAAAATTTTCGGAATCGGATACGGTAGGCAACTTATTAAGAAAAAGGCTGTTACTGGAAAAAGGTTGTGGCATATGTATTTCATTTCCTGTACCTGTAGGTTGCCTAAATATTCTTGTATATATTCATTGAATAATTTGTAATTAATAATATGAATAATTCGACAATTTGTTTAATTAGGTTATTAGATTGTAATGATTTTTGTCCTTCTTTATTATTTTAAACGAGGTTGTCCGATTTGTAATGTATTCATTATTATTTCCCGTCTTGTTATTTTTCGTTTTGTAAAAGTATACTGACTGTGCTTTTAACGGGTTACATGAGTGATGCTAAATGCTAAAAAAATCTTGTACTCGAAAAAAATTACGGGCGGGTGATGATTAGGGCGGAAGATTTTCACGGGCGGGAGATGGTCGACGGGAGTCGGTGGGCGGAAGATTTCCACGGGCGGGAGTAAATGGGCGGAAGAACGCGGGCGGGAGATCGTGGGCGGGTTGCTTCCGTATACCATAAATACACTTATTTATCAAGTTTATTTAAATTTGCTAAGTTTCGTGAAACATTTTGTTGGAAAACCAAAACTATTGTTCACAGATTTCCCTGAAAAGTCGCAATAATTAATTTCGCAAAATTATTTTGCAAAAAATTTTCTAAATGGTTTAATACCCTGGTAACTTGAGCAACCCCATTATGCCAGTTGTCAGCGTCGAAAGCATCAATCTATGTGAATATTTAGCCAATTAATATTGTAAAATTATAAATATGAACGCGAAACTCTCACAATTTTGACGTTTTCGTAAATTGTACTTTATAAAATATTAGATATTACTTTACGCAATACGATTTAAAAGATTTTACTTGATTATCTTGATATTTACCCAGCTGGAAAAAATTATGAAGAGAAATCAAATGCAAATCTAATTTTTTTAAATTTACATTTTTCGCCGGCATGCTTTAACTTTGTAAAATTTTGAAATTACAAAAAATT